ACAGCAGTGATGGCATCTTCATATGTTTGATTTCCACTTCCTACAGCTGTCCCTCATCTTTCAGTACATAGTTTCTCTCTCAGTACTCCAACAAAAAACAATGTCACAAATCATTGGACATACTTCTGGTCAAGAGTTTTGAAGTGGAGATGTGCAAAAGCCACTTTAATTAAAAACGGCTAAGTTCTTTCCTATAGTTAAATGGACTTATTTGATGAGGGTTATTGAAAAAATCACCCCTAAATCTACAGATTTGGGAAGAAGTCAACATTCCTTGGGAAATAAGTTGTAATCCTCTTTCTCAGTGAGGGCAGTCGGGGTCAACTCCTCCTGGCACCTGTGTGGATCTAAATGTCTCAGGTTTGGTGACACTCTGTCTGAGTGTTTCTGCCATGCGTTGGACACTAATCCACAAGTAGCCTCAGTTCAGTTTAATACTAGGAGAACAGCATTATGAATCTCCTGCATGTGTGAACTAATCAGTGTTGTGTGAATGTGTGCAAATTTGTCAAAGTTTTGCCATAAACTTTCTTGACAACCATTTTCTTTATAAGTTTCTCATTTCCATTCAAGCTTCTGGGTGTTTTGGTGTCAGATTGTTGAGTTTGAAGCTCCCATATTGTAGCGTATCATAATGTATCAAACCTTGCTTGCAAATATCTCAGTTCCAGTTTTCAAACAGAACTCAAAACATGGAAGTGTAAACACGAAAGTTATCTGAGGCTGCAGCGAGTGGTTTTAGTGAGCAGCCAGGCAGTTTCAGCTTTATTAGCACTTTAAAGGTAACTTTCAAAACTTTGTCATCATTAACACACTACCTAACTACCTATTGGATGTTTGTGATAATACAGAAGAAAATATCTGTCACTACTTCAGTTTTATCTTGACTTTAACATTGACATCGTTCAAATAATTCTGAAGAAGCAAAAAGTTTATTTTGCTAAGCTGTGATTTGGCAGCTGTTCAATTGGGACACACTGAAAGTGCCCTAAAGCACATGACAAATCATAAAGACTATTCTATTATTCTATTGGACTCGATGCACTAAGAAGTCGCTGATGTATTTCTTTAGCTTGATCCAACTTTTATAATGAGAGTAATGAACAGGGGATGTGCTGTCTTTTAAATTTGTGATGCAACCAGATAATGATAATTCACTTTACTGTATATGAGATCAGATGTTTTGATGCTTTATTTAGATGAAGTTAACTAAATGATATCCATCGCTATTGGATCTGACCATAGTAATGGGGAATTTGTTAGTGACTCTTTTTTTAATTTTGACTCTGATAAAGACAACAGCCTTCCTCATTTATCCAGAAGAGGCATGGCAGTTTGTATTTTATCTCCACAGTCAGAAGTTCTGGTAAAGCTCCTTTGATATAGTATAATTGCTGTTTGTGGGTGCTTTATGCTGTAGTGGCTTCCTAATGCCATTTTTCTTTAGTCTTTCAACAGATGGTATAACTATCTCTTTCTCTGCTCCCCATTTCTTTTTAGGTACTACAAAGGCTTTTCACAGAGGTTTGTGGCTTTGCTCTGTGATCAGCTCTAGACGGAAGACTCGTAATGCTGATACCCATGAGTCCCCTTCATCATCATGTGCTGCCACACTTGCTACCCTGTGAGGTAAGAACCTGATGCTTCCTCTTGCAGGGAATTTTATTTAATTTATTTATTTTTTCCTGCAGTTTCTGTGTTTTTATACTTTTTCTTTTGTAAATCATTGTCTGTTGTATTTCCCAGATGCTTCTGTGAAATTAAACTGCTGGTAAATGTTTGGAACGCTCTACTCTCTGTTACCAGAGGGTCACCTCCTTTTCAAAGACTGACTCAATAGCCAACTACGTTAGGAAATGCTGCTATTTTTCTTTACTTCCTCCACCTTTGGTTGTATTTTCATAGGGAGAGAAGGAGAGTACGCAACCTTGATTACCGATGCTCAGAGATTAACCCTTAACCCTGCGCCTGAGACAGAGACAGACCAATGCAATCAGCGAGTTTCCTGTCTCATAATTATTGCTGCTTGATTGGTCTGTCAGAGACCAGATACCCTGCAGCCCACCTCCACCGTTCCACTCTGCATTAATGACCCATGACATATGAGAACCGTGTTTACATGCAGAACTCCATACCGCCACATCGAGGGGATCACCGTTGGGATTTTCTCAGGTACTTAAGGGCTTTACTTTTGATTAGACTGTAGTGTGAGTTTAGATGTCGCTCAGAGGCATGGGTCAATCAGTGCGTGATGTAGCGAGTCCTATGGACCTGGGATGTTTACATGGGGCTGGTGAGATGGCTGGCTGGAGGGAGGGGCTGTTCCACTCAATTGCAGCCACATGTTTGCAAAGGATGTGGAGCTGAACGAGGCTGTGTGATCTGCCAGACTTTAAACAGGGCCTTCGCCTGTGGGCAGCTCTAAAGTTTTCCAGCGCGTTCCTCCAGCCTCTTCGTTACTGTGGTTTCTAGGCAAACATACTACCCTGTTGCCGTACAATTTCACATTCATAAACTGCATTTGGGCTGCCTGAGATTCCCATACAATTGCTTAGACAAATCCGTTCTTGTACTGACTTACACTAACACACAGACCACACACATATAACTAAGTTATACTGAGATGGGGCATGGAATATTTCATAAGTGCTGGCGTACATTTGCAAAAAGTAGAAGCAGGACAACTTTCAAACATGCACATGACGCATAACAGAAAGTGACATTGTCAACTAACTCTGGTTTTTGTTTGTATTACTTTGACCACCTGTTTTATGTGGTCTTTTCTTCTGTTTTGACCCGTTTATATATGTATCTATATATCTTTTTTGGATACAGGAGTGCCTGTAGTGCAACTGTAGCTAGACAAACCCGAGCTGCACTGCTAGTTTTTGGATGTTGAGTTGAACTGGCATGAATTCAGTTTGACTAAATGGTTTGCATTTTTAAAAAGTCAAATTATTGTTTTGCTCCAACTAAAATTGGAGTTTTAAAGTGCATGTAAACACACTGATTGTTGGATCAAGGATCAAAGTGTCCAGATGTCACTCTTTGACTGAAGAACAAAGGCTTTTACTGTTCTTCCTGCTGCTGTAATTAGGTAAAAAGTTGTAAAATAACAGACATTTAGTAGTTCAAATGTGTAACAAAGTTCATAGATCGGGAAGAAGGAGACGGGAACCGGCAAACATTTAAACATAAAACTTTAATAAACAAATGAACAAACACAAAATGAAAGTAAAAGCGGCAGCCCCTCACGGATGACTGCCGCACAAAACGACAACATAAAATCCAGGCCTGGTCCTCTCTCGTCCAACACTGTTGTCACTCCTCCTTTTATCCATCCGGAGCTCCTCCGTGGGACTCTAGACTGGTGAGTGGCGCAGATGTCGCTCATTATCATTCACTCCACCGGCCTCGCGCCGTTCCCACGACTCTCGGCCCCGCCCCACTCGTCACAAAATGATTGTCCTATTTATGGAAAATTAAGAGAGGTTGATTGACCTAATGGCACAGTTCATTACAAAAATGGAAATTCTGTCATTTACTCATCCTCATGTTGGTCCAAACATTTATGACTGTCTGTCTTCTCTGGGCACAAAAGAATATTCTGAAGATTCCTTACATTGAAAGTCAATGAAATCAGTGTTGTTTTGGATCCCCTTGAGTTTTATTGTATGACCGAAAACAGTTGAATCCGTTTTGCAACAGGTTTGGAATGACTTGAGGTGAGTAAATTATGACAGAATTTTCATTTTGGGTCAGTGATCAATTTAGAGGCATGGGGCTTTCTTAAAAATGTGCCTTTTTAATTCTAATACTCTGGACTTGTTTACATGGCCTTGCCCTGACCCCGTCCAAGAACCCTTGGGCTGATGTTTCCATTTATACCAAACCCCCTCTACAGGGCAATAAGATCTAAAGCTTACCACATATGATAAAACCTCTTTATCATCCCACAGCCATGGAATTTGTGAGCAGGTAGTGGAAAATACAACACCTCTTTCCTTTCTGTCATGCCCTAATGCCTTTTAAGAGACAGCAACTCAAACCTTGGAGCTTGAAAAATCACCCCACAGTGATAAGAAAACAGATCTCCAGCGGTGTCACAGTATGTCTCTCCAATCATGTGGATAAGAAAGGAAAAAAAATAGCATCCATTTAAACACCTTGTGGCAGACATCTTATTTGTAAACTCATGCAGGAACAGACATTCTGGCAGCAAATGCTCTGCAGAGTGTGAAAATGATCTGTTTGATACAGAGGAACCTCCTGCCGCAGCCATTAAGCGTCCTGCCTAGAGAATTGGAGACATCAGAGAGCCTTGCATGAAGTGCGCTTTCATGCTTTGCTCATCAGGGCAACGTCCTTCAACTCAAAACAATTTGCACTTAGTGTTTTTTGGGGAAGGGGGCAATGTCACATTCAGTTGCCAGCTGGATTACATGTGTTTCTATACACAGAGGGACTAGCCACTTAGTAATATGGATTTTGTTCTCCGCATCCAAAAAGAAATTGGCTTGCACAGGTCCGCACTGTGGTCAGGATTTCACACTCTAGGATGTGTAGATCAGGGAACTTGAATGACTATCCCTGGGTAGAGAACACTTTCTAAATCAAAAGTTGTTGACAGGAAAAAATTAGATGGAGAGAATTGAATCCTGAAGAGATGTCCAAAAGCTTGTGGCTGTTTCAGTTTCTTCTACCCCCAAGTATTTCGAATTTGAAAAATATCGTAGGTTAGTCTGTTATTACTACAGAAATGTTAAGATATCTTACAATAATGGTATTTTATAGGTTGTCCTTAATTATTCATGAATACACTAGAATAAAATAGATGGTAGATTTTCTGAGGGAATATTATGTTAATTTGGTATTTATTTAATAACAGCTCTGTGTTATGTTAGCCATTTTGGCTTTTAAAAATAAAATACAAATATTGCAATACCAAAAGAAAAGTGTACATAAAAATAGTTGATCAATAGTTGACAGATACACTACTGTTCAAATGTTTGGGGTCAGTAAGATCTCTCTCTCTCTCTCAAGGCTGCATTTTTTAGATTTTAAAAAAAAAACTATATTTGATATGTTAAATATTGTTACAATTTAAAATAACTGTTTTCTGTTTGGATACATTGTAAAATGTATTTCTTATCACATTTATTTCTTCTTATCACAGTTGAAAAGGTCAATTATCAAAACTGAAATTTCCTGCCTTTTTTCACGATAACTGAGGTCTAGGGGCTATTTAACTTCCATATAAGTTTCAAAACAGTCAGTCCACAGTCAAATGCACACAGCCTGCATAAAGTAGCTGTGATTTTTCATGAACCGTTGTGATTTCCGTAAAAAGTTGATGTCAGAACTACACAGTCACCACCTTCAGTCACCACCCCGAGCACCGCCCACCATCCCACTCTCCTTTTGCCAAACCCCCAGACAACATCGCGTCCATGCCATTGCTGAGCAACGACAACACGGAAAGGTTAACTTTAACCACGAAACCAGATCGGCCGACCTGTAACGTTACACTCTCACTCAAAGGATGGACGATCTGACAGGATTGTTACTTTGAGGTGGATCACATCTAACGTGTCTAGTAAAGACAAACTCACCGTGTCTATCTAGTCATGATGAAGATGTATATA